GCCAACTCTTTAGCTGATGGATTAGCTAAACAAGGGATAGAAAGGGAAGCAATGTTTTGGGCTAAGCTGTAACTTAATTGTTTCTTTTTCTCTTTTTCTTTCTTTGGAGGGTTTAAGTTGTATTCGGAAGATAAGAGTTCTTGTCTTCCTTGCTGTAAATATTTTGATATTTCAATGAATTGAATGAATCTGTTATTGATCCAAAAAAAAAGGGCTCATAGGCTTGGTTCTTAGGAGGCCTTAGCAAGGCTGGTAAGGTAGCTTGGAGCATCATCCCCTCTGCTGTTTTCTGGGCAGTGTGGGGTGAAAGAAATAACAGACTTTTTGAAGGGAGACAAAAGTCAAAAGAAGAGGTGCTCAACAGGATTTTGGGAATGGTATTTTCGTGGATGACAAATCACTCACTTTTTAATGATAGACATACTTGTTCTTTTTTTGAGCTTGATTTCCTTTTTGTAAGAAACATATAGTGCTTTTTTGGGTTGATTGGGGGTTGACTTTATTGAGTTTTATTGTCTTTCCCACTGTACAATTTCTCGTTGTACCGGGGCCCTATTGTTTTTTGGTCTTTTGATATTAATGAAATGCCTTATATTACATTTTAAAAAAAGTTTAATATTTTTACTTTTTTTTTTTTGCGTCTTGCTTTGAAAAGGTGTGTGCCTTGCCTTGTGCCTCAGGCAGAAATTGCCCCTTGCATTTTTTTTTTTTGAGATTTGCACTTTTAAATCACAGTTTCTGGGTGATGTTCATTTTTTCTTCCCCGTTTAGATGGATTTTTTGTTTTTCTCTAGTTGATGACTAATTTGTTAACTTGGAAATAGAAATCTAGGGTTTGACTATTGTCAACCTTGAATGGGTTATGTTCTCCGTGCAGTTGATTGAAGGTGGTGTCAGTAGTTCTTTGGAGTTGTAATAGCTGGGGTTGGGTTATCTTAGTGTAGGTTGACCAACTACGTTGTTTTTTGATGATTCGTCTGGAAAGTATATTATTGTCAACTGCGATGGATTCCTTTTAGTGGTTATGAGACCTGTGAAAGTTTAAGGGAAAAAGTCCCTCTTCTTTAAATGGTCAGTTGTGAAAATACTGTCCAATGTCACCAACCATGCAAAATACTTCCACAATAGGGGGAATAGGATTGCTCCATATCTCTCTGATGTCAGAAATCTCTTTCTGGTTTCTAATAACAGCATTATGGTATAACTTTACCATAAACTGATTTGCGGTATTTTTTCCTGCAATCTAGCATCAGTTTCTGAAGGAGAGAAAACTTTTCAGCTTCAAGTTTTCTAAGCATAGAAATGCACTCAAGCTCCCAATCCCATAAAAACAATAGGCCCCTTAAGCTGGAGCTTCACTCGAATATTTCATTATTTTATCCATTAAAAAACAAATCAATAAGTCATTCAGTTCAGCCCCTTAAGCTGTTATCAAGCAGCCCCATAGTCTTGAGTTAAGACGTTCACTACTAAACAACACTCATTGCAAAATCCTTTTAATGAACAACATTCTTTAACCACCTTTAAGGTTATCTTGAATGGACTAGAAATGAGATTTGCGGCCTAAATTTCTTCAACTCAACAGTTCCCGTTTTTTTGGAATTAAGGATATGAACTTTTCTCCGCCACCTTTGCATTATAGATTGCAGACCTCTTTAATTAATTTTATCATTATGCTTTATTCCCACTCGCCCCACTAAAAGCTGCCTGGATTTCTTTCTCTCTATTGATCCAGCATTATTCTCCCCCAACTTAGTAAGCATTATTCTGGACGGGGCAAAGAAGCCAAGGACGTCGAACTATCTCCGTTGTGTTGAATCTTTGGCGGTTCTACACTTCTACTATCCAGAGTCGGGAAGATCTCGCATTCACATGCTATAATCCTTGGGGAAGCGCTTGCTCTGGAGGAGTATGATCTGGTGTTCCCTAGTGAGAGTTCTCTCGCCAGGCAATGTAGGTGAGCGTCAATATTTTGGCGCATTACTTGAATATGGGTGTTCTTTTTTTTATTGCACAAAATATGATTCACCTTATTTTAACAGTAGAAAAAGGACAAAATTTGAGGCGTTCATTGAATATGGATATTCTTATTTTTGAATGTGGGTGTTTTTACATAGAATTCACTTTTTCTATTTTTATTAGAAAATCCAAGTTTTGATGCAATTAAAAAAAAAAATAGATGAGAGTGAATAGGGAAAAACTGAACCTGTATAATGATTGGGTGGTCGCCGGTGATCTCCCTTCCCTTCTGTGTTTTGTATTGAAAAAATAAATGATAAAAAATAACTTAGCAAAACATGTAAAGGATGTTAGAGAGGGATGAGATGAGAGGGACGGGGAGTACTTCCGGTGTATTTGTCGGAGTGGTTGTCTTTGACAGAGTTCTCGCCATTAGTTCGGATGGACGAATACAAGGGTCAAGAGATGAGGCCAAATCAAGAGTTGGAATTTGGAGCTAATGGGATGAGCTAACGTCTGTCCTATTAGCTCCACACGTGCTGAGGGGGAAATCGTGTGAAAGAACACTTGGCACCTTCCGATTGTGCGGGGCGTCCGGCCGTAGGGCGCATATTTGAACTCGAGGGTCAGAGGCTTTCTAAGTCGAAAGCGGGATTCGAGAGCGGAAATATACATAAAATGGGTTTGGGCTCATTTTGGAACTAACTGGACAAGCTAACAGCCGTCCCGTTAGCCCTACACATGAGAAAATCTCAACCATGCGGCTGACAAATGGCGCACTCCCATTGTTGGGACGTTGGTAGGGTGGAAGCCCATGGGGCGCAGATTTGAATTCGTATTTTTTTTTACGGTTACGAGTGGGGTGCTCCACAACGTCTCGCACATCCCCAATCCGGAACATCTCACGATCATATTATCATCATTTCTGGTGGTACATCATCGGGAGATATTTCCAATACACGGTGAAGATATGCAGTTAGACGTTGTGGGGCGCCTCCTAGTGTGGAGCCTGGGGGCGTAGATGTGAATTCGATAGCCTATCATTTGAGAATATCATCCGTTGGATTTGAAGAAAGGAATGATTTCGTGTATCTTAAAAATTGGATAAAATGGATACATAAGGCCATCTAAGCCGGTGAATTGGGGGCCCACAGGCTGTTACCATCCAGACCCGAAACCAGTGTGGGGAGTGCGTTGTACGCACTCATCGTAGTTTAGAGGTTAGAAGGTGGAAGTAAGGAATAAACTATATATTTACATTTTACAGAGCAACGTAATCTGATTTTGAATCCTCTGTTCGTGGCCGTTGTGGTGGTTTCGTGGAACGTCTTTTTTATTCTCTCTTCTTGCTTTCTTTCCCATGCACACTCTTTTCTTCTCTTTCTGAACTTTCGGTGATATATAAAGACACAGACTTCGCCTCTGAATTGTATGGTTTTATAATTTAAGAACCGTTTGTTTTATTGTTGTTGTTTGGAGAAGCAAATCAAAAGGAAATGCCAGCGTTTCGTCATGCCGGATTAGGTTTTGGGCACCGTCTTCTTGCCAGCGGTGGTGTTTTGTGGATTTCCAAAGAGCCTGAAACTCGAAAGGGCCTTCCGGTGGACCGGAGAGTTGAACTGAGTGAGTGTAGAGCTCCTGACAGGGTAAGGCACCGCCGAATCTTACAGGATGGGATCGTCGATTTTCCCATCGACGTACCTACAATCCTTACACCATCTTGCCTTTAATTCTTTTTTGGTCCGTGGTTGATTTTAAGCTCTGGATTTAATTGAGGATGGCGTTTGGCTTCTGCATCTTGTTCTTGAATTCGTTTTATTTTTCTCTTTAATTTTCTCTTCTTGATGTAATTTATATTGATGGGCTTTTTGATACTCTTTGCTTCTTTACTGTTTTCCTTTTCTTCGTTTAATGGGTTCTGGATTTGATGGTTCTTGATGTTCTAAGGTTCTTTAGTTTTTAAATTGACAGCTGTGTGTTTATACTGTTCTTTCTCTTTTGATGCTTTTGATGTAGTTCATAGATGGGTTTTCGAAGATGTTGATTCTTCTTTTTTATTTATTTATTTTCTTCGGCTTTTGATCTCTTTAAAGCTCTACTGGATGGGGACCAAGGGGTGACCATTTTCTTTGGCTTTCGATGCTTTTGATGTAGTTCATAGATGGTGCATTGGAGAACAGAGGGCTATCCATTTCTCTGTTTTGATCTCTCCAGGTAGTGACGGAGAAAACAGAGGAAAAAGGCAGATGGAAACCCAGAAGCGTGAAAAACATGGAGACTAGTGGTTTATAGATTGGCTACAATGTCCCAGAGGAAACTCACTGCATGGATTTAAAGGAATATCCTTGGCGAAAACAGAACGAATCTGTATCAACCCTTTCTGTCTCTTCCTCTCCTTTGGGGTATCGCTTCCGAATTACGCAATACAATGTGGTAGGGCTGGACTGTCAAGTCATTCGTTCGCTCTAATCCCTCAACGCTGTCACCGTCACAGAACCAGACTCACAAGACTACTAATACGAGAGAAGATAAACCCAGTTCGGATCTCACTCACCCAGAACACAGCAGCCTCGAGAATAAATACAAGCATTACAAAGACAATGACCAGAAAGGAAAAAGTAAGAACACTCGCAAGTACAGAAGGGATGTTTCTCCATTGTATGCTTTTGATGTAGTTCAGGACCAAGGGATGACCATTTTTGGAGGTTTGAATCCCGACTTAGATGTTTCTCCATTGTATGCTCTAGTTTAAAATGCAGTGAATGAGTATTAGTTAGATGCAAGCCTTTGTATTTATTTTACGTGTGCATATACTTGTGGTTTCTAACATATATTGTTCATTGTAAAAAGGTTTTATAGATAATTATGATGTATACATGAAAGCATTATTCTACTTAAAATAATCGTCCATTAAATTATTATTCTTGATGGCATGTAAAACTAAGAACTAAAGCATATTTAACAAATTAAGAAAGTTCTTATATATGTTAACAATCGACACTGCTCTCATTTTTTGAATAGTAAAATAGAAATTTTATTAAATAGAAAAAATCAGTTATATGCAATAGGTGACAAGGTGGCACCTACCTTACAAAACAGAAATACTGAACTAAGGCACAGTCCAAACTAAGACTGATACAATTTACATCAACTGAATCTCAAGCATGCTCTAAAAATTTTCCCCCAAATCTGATTTGCTCACTTGATTAAAATCTGGTAACACCCATACCCAATCTGCAATTAACTTCCCCACCAGAGCCACCAGAACTTCTGTTTTCTTGAATTTGTCTCCAAAGATCCTCTTATTCATTTCGTTCCACAATATCCAACACACTACAAAGGGGATACTATCCTTGCTTTCCTACTTCCCCGAAATCTTGGCCAGGCAGAGAAAATTTCTGGTGCTGAACTTGGCTGAATGGCTCTTTTCCTGAATAAAGAAGTGTAATAACTCCACATGATTCTTGCAGTCTTGCAGGTGGAAAATAAATGTTGAACAGATTCTTCATCTGAACTTCACATCACACAAATGCTTGCCATATAAAATCCTCAACTCTTCAAATGATCACTTGTTAGGATACTGTCCATGGCAACCCTCCTATCACTTTCCCCAAGGCCCCTCACGTTCCAGCTTAGTACCCTCATCCTTCCTTCCACACTCCTTAGAGCATCTCTTTCTCAATTCTCACATATCCTCTTCTAGCATTTCTTGTTCACCCCCTTCCTTATCCCACTCTTTGTTAAACCCACTTAGCTCCTTTCTTTTACCCTTCTCCCTCTTGTCCTCTTCAAATTGTGTGAAGGCCCTTCTTGCAAAATAATTCTAGGGACTTACCTATCGATACCTCCAATCCACCTGGCTTCTCACCCCTTCTCCCTACTCCCCCCTCTCCCTTCTTCGATCCTCTTTCTCCTCTTCAGTATCTTTTTCCCCTAATTCCTTTCCTTTTTTGGTACCTAGGTTGCCTCCTTCCGATCTTCTCTTTCAATTGTACACTTTTCCCCCGACTCCTCCTTCCCTTCCCCTCGTCTTCTTCTCCTCCTCCCTCAATTGATGCTCGCCCACCGGCTTCGAGACTGAAGGAATTGAAGATTTCAAGAATTCGTATCTCTTCCTCTTGGGTTTCCTATAACAAAGTTTAGCCTTCCAACTCTCGAGATTCCTCTGTTTGGTTGTTGCTGCACTATACTCACCTTCCGGGCTCACCTTTCCTGAAACCAGCAACCCTTCAGTCACTGGATTTGGACGATGGTCATGCTTTTGTGTCATAGTCACTTCTTGGCCCTGTATCTCATAAGACCGAGATAGCCTAGTGTTCTACGATTTATAGCGTCCTAATTAAGCCAATCTCTTCTTCAACCTCATGCACTCCGGTTCTAATGCCTTCAATTGTGCTTGTAGAGTGTCCTTGGAAACTCACTGTTTTTTCTCCTCCGAAACGAGAAACCACCGAAACCCATTCGTCTTCCTAAGTTCCTAAGTTCTTGCTCTTCAGTCTATTCCAGCTCAGCCTTTTGGTTGTCCATTTCTGGATTGAGCCCTTTCCCCTCCTAATTTCCCAAACTGCTCGTTTGGAGGCTCGATTTTGCTCTATCTGGTTCGAATTCTTTAAAGTGGACCCCATTTGAATTCGTGCTTCCCCTGCTTTGCCTGCCTCTTGACTAAGCCCTCTTTCTTTTACCATAGGGCCTATCGACAGTGCTATCATGGACTATGATATTGTAAGGACCAATTATTGTGACTTGCACAATTGCATCTCGAATTACTTAAGATAGACAGTAGTTGGGATTTCCCTGTAAACAATGTAGAGGGTGCACGCACATATCTAAAAAGGCCATTATCCAATTGTGGCCCCTGCGCTACTTGGGGTCTTGGGAGGGGTAAATTGGATAGTCTTAAGTCCTAACCTTTGGCATTTTCTTTTGCCCAAAGTGTTTGCTCTCAGTCTCACAATATGAGGGTGCACATATTTCTCATATCCATAAATAGTACTCAGGGAACTTTTCAAGCAGTTCACTTTTATCCAACCCATGCCTAACACTTCATTGTGAAAAGTTGTTTATTAGATATGGTTGTTGAATAACTTATGCCCCATTTCTGAATGTTTTGGCAACTAGGCTTCTATGCAATGGATAAATAGTGGAGATACCTTTAAATGTTTTTCACATTGCAAACACATTTATGAAATTCTTCTTTGTTATTTCTCTTTATTGGACATGGTGTCATGACTTGATATATTGCAATGTATTTATGAATTTGTGTACATACTACATAGATTACATTTGAAAACGAGTTTAATAATGACACTTCATTTAGCCAAGAAAGTGGAGAATTACCTACAAAACCACAAATCATGTAATACAAAATTAGGAAAAACAATAAGTCATTTATACTTCACATTTGCATAGCCTCCAAGACCTAAAATTGAAGAAATCAATGGGTGACACAAGAAGAGCTAGGGGGTAGAGCAAAAGGGACATGGGTAGTAGTAAAAAATGATTTAGGCACTAATAAATTAACAATGGATATGGCTTTAAATTGAATGGATTAGTGAATCAGGATTCATGTAGCCAACCCCATATAGTTAGGATAAGGCATGGTTGATAATGATGATGACATACTAGGGATGCTTGTTTATGAAGTTTCCTGGCTTGCTTGGCCTGCAAATTTTTGGGCCGAGGTAGCCACATTTCTCCTAGGCCTGGCCCAGCCTAGACCGACAGTAAGCTTGCAAAAATGCAGATCTGTGATGCTTAGCTATATCAAATTGATATTAGTTGTAACCTCAGAATGAACTTTCAGCTTATATCCGTTAATTGTAACCTTAGAATGAATGGACTTTCGGTCAAATTTTCATCCTAATATAATTGATGTGATTGCAGATCTGTAGATTTAGAATTGTCTTAAGAAATCTTACAACTTATCTATGTTGTTTGGGCACACATTAGACTTCAATATCTTAGTATTTATTATTATTATTTTATGAATATATAATTATTATTTTATTAGTTTTTAATTATTAATATTTTAGTATTTCTCATTAATTTATGAATAAATTATTAAAAAATATTATACTATTATATTTTATTATTATTTTCTTATTACTTTATTAATATGCTATTATTTTTTGTTTATAATTTTAAAAATAATTTATTATTATTTAATAAATTATATGTTAGCATTTTATTATTTAATAAATTAATATGTTTGTTTTTTATTATTAACTTATTAATTTTTTATTATGGTATTATTTTTTACGGAACATTTTACTAATCTTTTATTATTATTTTAATTATTAATATACTCTTATTTTATTATTGTTATCTTATTATTAATTTTATAATATTTTATTATTCAATTATTAATGTTTATTATTATTTTATGATTATTTAATTATATTGCATCAATATTTTATTATAATATTTAATAATTAATTTATTGATATTTTGTTATAGTACTATTATTTTATTATTATTTTACATGTATTGTTAATAGTGTAATAATATTTTATTATTAATATATTATTCTTTTTATTATTATTATATCTTATTATTTTAATAATATTTATTAAGATATTGAAGTCTAATGTGTGCCCAAACAACATAGACAAGTTGTAAGATTTCTTAATACAATTCTAAATCTACAGATTGCAATCACATCTATTATATCAGGATAAAAATTTGACTGAAAGTCCATTCATTCTATGGTTACAATTAACGGATGCAAGCTGAAAGTTCATTCTAAGGTTACAACTAATATCAATTTGATATAGCTAAGCATCACAGATCTGCATTTTTTGCAGGCTTACTGTGGGTCTAGACTAGGCCAGGCCTAGGAGAAATGTGGCTACCTTGGCCCAAAAATTTGCAGGCCAAGCAAGCCAGGAAATTTCATAAACAAGCATCCCTAGTATGTCATCATCATTATTATCCTAACTATATGGGGTTGGTTACATGAATCCTGATTCACTAATCCATTCAATTTAAAGCCATATCCATTGTTAATTTATTAGTGCCTAAATAATTTTTTACTTCTACCCATGTCCCTTTTGCTCTACCCCCTAGCTCTTCTTGTGTCACCCATTGATTTATTGAATTTTAGGTCTTGGAAGCTGTGCAAATGTAAAGTATAAATGACTTTTTGTTTTTTCTAATTTTGTATTACATGATTTGTGGTTTTGTAGGTAATTCTCCACCTTCTTGGCTAAATGAAATGTCATTATTAAACTCGTTTTCAAATGTAATCTATGTAGTATGTACACAAACTCATAAATACATTGCAATATATCAAGTCATGACACCATGTCCGATAAAGAGAAATAACAAAAAAGAATTTCATAAATGTGTTTGCAATGTGAAAAACATTTAAAGGTATCTCCACTATTTATCCATTGAATAGAAGCCTAGTTGTCAAAACAATCAGAAATTGGGCATAAGTTATTCAACAGCCATATATAATAAACAACTTTCCACAATGAAGTGTTAGGCATGAGTTGGATAAAAGTGAACTACTTGAAAAGTTCCCTGAATACTATTTATGGATATGAGAAATATGTGCACCCTCATATTGTGAGACTGAGAGCAACCACTTTGGGCAAAAGAAAATGCCAAAGGTTAGGACTTAAGACTATCCAATTTATCCCTCCCAAGACCCCAGGTAGCGTAGGGGCCACAATTGGATAATGGCCTTTTTAGATATGTGCGTGCACCCTCTACATTGTTTACAGGGAAATCCCAACTACTGTCTATCTTAAGTAATTCAAGATGCAATTGTGCAAGTCACAATAGTTGGTCCTTACAACCGATAGCGCAGGGGCCACCATTGGATAGTGTTGACTGTTAACATATATAAGAACTTCCTTATTTATCTAGGGATAAAAGATAATCTGCAAAAACTAATCAAGTTATATCAGGATAAAAATTTGACTGAAAGTCCATTCTGATGTTTAGTTAGTTCTGCCAACTCTTGACTTCTCCAACAATCTTTTTTTTTTCGTAAGTAATTGTTTTATCATTAAACTTCCTATGTTTTTTCAATCATCAGTAGACTTTCTCCATTGTTTCCGATTCTTTAAAACATTTCCACTTTAAGGCATTGGAAATGCTTCCCTTCATTTTAATGAAGTGTCAAACTGTTGTATGGCAGTTCTGCTGTCTGAAACAAAAATTTTTGAATGATGTAGATGCATTGTCAATACCAATAATCTTGCGTGTATATTGGCCTCAATTGGTATATGAGTTATTAAAGCTATGAGTTGGTAAGCCTGATCAAATAGAAGAAAGCTAATATCTTTTTTATCTCTGCAGACGTTGTTCTAAGACATAATTTTTTTTGTCTATGATCTAGCTAATCAATGCATTGGATGGGCTAATTATGAGTGTAAGTTAAACGGACAATGCATGTCCTTCAAGTTTTCCATGAAGAATGTTGATTAAGTTGTACATTTACTTTTCAGGTTCATTGTTTGTAAATGCCTTCACAATTTCTGGTAAGGATGAATTTATCAACACAGGACAGCTAAGTGTGAGCAGTTCATCAGAGATTGTTCCATGCAGATTGATATCAAGCAATACAGTGGCTATGGTGTTTCAATTGCGGGTGCATCTTTTTAGGCGAAGGATTTGTGTAACGTTGGTCACAAGATTGTTGTGTGTGAATGCACAATTATCTATAACAGTAAATTTATAGGTGATCACAACATTGATCTAAAAATCCCCAAAGTTCACAACGCAGGTATCTGGAGCTATCTTCTCATTTCCAGCCGTTCTCGTGGGTCAAGCAATCCTGATACACGTACTGGAACAATCCTGAAGTAAGTACCTGAATGAAAGCCATGATACAAGAGCAACTCTTGAATTTCCTAATACACGTATCGGAACAAAGCCAGCACCCAAAGTTGCTTTTTACAGCTCCAGAGGATCATCTGCAATTTGCCCCCATGTTCTAAAGCCTGACCTCATAGCCCCCGGCTCCTTTGTTCTTTTACATCTTGCCCTCCAATAAGTCCTATGGTGAACGAAGGATCAACAAAATTGTTTAGCAACTTCAACATCATCTACGGAACCTCCATGGCTTGTCCTCATGTGGTGGTAATGACAGCACTTCTGAAAGCAGTCCATCCTGAATGGAGTCCAACGGCCATTCGATCTGCCATGATGACCACAGAAGATTCACTCAATACCACCCTCAAACCCATCACAGAACTCTTAGATGGCAAGCAACCCACCAGTCCTCTTGCCACGGGAGCGGGTCACCTCAATCCTAACAAGGCGCTTGACCCTGGACTTGTATTCAAATACAGAGGACTAAGAGAAGCTTCTCTGCGCTCTGAATTACACTAAGAAGGAATCAAGAAGATAACAAGGTCGTCCTCGGACTAGTTAGCCCATGAAGTGCAAACGTTTGGTAATGCCTCTTCAAGCTTCAACCCAAGAGCTCTTCCTTATGATCTTAGTGTAATTGTGTCTAGTGATTTGTGGGGACGTGCTACCCCCCGTCCGTCTTGTGTAGCCCCTTTCCAATATTTTATCAAAAAAAATGTTTGTTTCATTGGAGGTCACAAGCAAGGTTCAGAGTATCGATACACCTCCTTGTTTTGTTGTTGATATACTTACAGGAAAAAAATCGGTCCTGGTACAAATACTTTAAGATGGATGATAAGTACTTTAACATCCACATTGAATAAGTTATTGTAGCTATAACTATGGGTGCAAATGTACAATTTGAGTAGGCTAGGGTTGAGATTTTTTTCAAAATTCGAATGGGCCTTGCCTGAAGGCCAAGGCCAAAGCAGTGTATAAAATGCTAATTTTTGCACCCCTACCTAATTTAATGGGATCCAAAAGTTTTTCTACATGCAACGCATTAGTCATGATTTCTGTCATTTTTTTTATCAAATGCCCTTAATGGACTTTTTTTTCAAAAGAACAAAACTGCATTACCTGCTCATGGGCAATTGTATTAAGAGTTCTACAAACATACTTGATATATGTAGTATTAAAAAAAGTAAATAGGTTAGTGGCTACTTCCCCGTGGTGTATCACTTTCCAGTCGGTGCTTTTCCATTGATACTATTTACAATACTTTCGGTATCAGACAAAAGAGTTGCAGATTGATTTTCATTGAGATGCTTTTTGCAGTCCATGGATTATTACCCACCCTTCAGCTTGAAGACTTGAAGCAGCTCTGTTGAAATCATAGATTGATAATTATTTAGTAAGACAATACCTGTCCCTGCTGTTGCCCTTGCTGGGTCGTATGAGCCATCCACATAAATATAGACATCTGTGTTCTGTTGAGAGTCTCCCCAAGCATTGTCTGCTGCTTGTTCAGAGTTTGTCAATGGGTTCTAGGTTCTATGTATGAATCAGCTTTCTCTATCAAATGTATGAGATCAAGTATGTGTTGTTGATGGATCTTTGCATTATTCATGTCCCATATGAGACTGAAAATGATGAAAATTTTGACAACATACCTCTGTTTGAGGTTTGGTGGTATGTTTTTTAACTTTGCTGTTATCCTATCAGTGACGAACTGATTCAGCTGTTTGTTATTTACTTCCTCGGGGTTCATTCCAATTTGGGTTGTAAGCCAGATGGCCCTCACAGAGAAACACTGAAAGAAGAGATGCAGCCATGATTCTATAGCAGCATCGCATAAAGTGCAGTCTTTCTGTTTCCTGGTAAAAAAGGAGTGTGTCTCTGGTTTTTACTCCACCCCACCATGCCTTATACATGAATATTTGAAACCTGAAGGGCACTTTTGTTTTCCAGATTCCTGTTCTCATGTGGTCCAGAGGAGGATGATAGCTGATCTATAAATAATTTGTAGCCTGTTTTGACACTGTATAATGCTTTTCTTGAACTCTTCCATAGGAATTTGTCTGGGTCTGTGGATGGAATTCTGTTCAGTTGTACGATGTGGCTTATTGTTTCTTCCTCAAATAGCTCTTGTAGGGGGGGGGGGGTTCCTTGGTTCACTGACCCTTTCTATCTCCATATCTGTTTTGAGAAGAGAGCCTTGTTGAATTCCTCAATTTTCCTGAAGCCCAGACCTCCTTGATTTTTGGTTTTACAGATATGGTGCCATGGGATTGTGCATAAGCTTTGTTTCTGTCATTTCCTTCCCATCAGAACCTCTTCTGGATTCGTTCAATTTCTTTAATTGTTCTTTTCTTTAATAATGAGTGGGACATTAAGTAGGTGGGTAAGGCTTGTAACACTGTTTTCACTAGTGTAGTTCTCCCTGCTTGTGACAACAATTTTGCCTTCAAAGTAGCAAATCTAGTGTTCATTTTATCCTCAATTTCCCAATGGTCGTTGTTTTGTTCACCTTGGGAACAATGGAACATTACTTGGATCCCAGATATTTTTCTTGGATCTACATGCGTTTCATTCTGAGAATTTTGAGGAGTATTTTTTTCCTTTCTTCTCTGTATTCCTCTACTGAACTGAGCCCCTGCTTTTGTCAAGTTAATTTTTTCTCCCGACCAGCTTTCAAACGTTGCCAGTATTTCTTTGACCTTCCTTAACTGATCTGGTTCAGCCTTACAGATTATAACACAACCATCTGCAAATAACAGATGTGATATTGGAGGGCCATTTCTACATAATCTTATACCTTGCAGCTCCTTATTGTCTTCAGCTTTCTGGAAGAGGCTAGACAGTGCTTGCATCCCTATAATGAATAGGTAAGGTGAAACTGGACCACCTTGTCTGATCCATTCCAAACCTGAAAAAATTCATTTAGGGTTCCATTTATTTTAATTGCTAACCTTGGTGTTTGAATACAAAAATTCACCATTTTGCACCATCTTTCTGAGAATCCCATCTTCTCCATAATTTTTACTAAAAAAACCTTCGACTTCTACCATATCCCTTTGACATGTCTATCTTCAACATGGTCCATCCTTTGACATGTCTATCTTCATTTAGTATTGGTGCTGCAGATACAGTACCGTTTGCCAAGAAAATGGTGTTTTTTTTTCTGTTTGAAACGTTACTGTCAGGTAGGATGTTTCCTGGAGCAACAACACTTTCTGTTTGGTACCTATTCTCTTTATCTATTTTCGGTACTGGTATCATTTATAGAAAGTACACGTTATTATCATATCATGTCCTCGTTGACAGCAATGAGTTCCAATCTGAGAAAACATCAAATTTGGCATTGCTCTAAACCACACCTTTTCGATTTCCAAGGTGTGGCTTGGAGCACTATTTTTTTTATGAAAAAACAGTTCCAAATAAATTGGCGTTTCTTGAAGCATCATTTTTTCCAACGACACTGATGTATCACCGTTTTCTGGAGCAACAGCACTGATGCCAAGTGTCAACTTAAATGAGTTGCCATTGAATCAACTTAAATGGTTTGAACTGGGTCGGGTTGTGGCCTTGTGGACACCTATCGGTTAACCACTTCTCATTATTTTCTATTGTCCCTTCTGTGGATATAAAGTGTCAACGGGTCAGGTTTGGTTCGGGTTTTGCCTTGACCCTAACCCAACCCTCTAATGTTCCCACCTGAACTCGACTCAGAAACATATCATTCCCAAACCCACTCCAATGGCCCAACCTAGCCCCACAGCCTTTCAATTGTATTTTTTTTAAATTGAATTTTGGTTTATAGGTTAGGTTTCACCTCTTTCATTAGCGGAAAAACAGAAAAACCGAAATAAACATCAAAAGAAATCCTTAACTTTAAGGCTGGATAGTCCGACCCATTGACATCCTTTGGACTTTATTTAAATTCAAATAAGTCATTGCATTAACTCATAATTACTGCAATTAACTCTCAATTTATAATTAATGCATTGACTTCTCAACTCATGCGCGACCCTTGTTAGCTCGAAACCCATCCTGTCTTCAACATCTAATCCAGTTCGGACCGATCCAACCAACCAATATATAGAATCAACCAGTCCAGACTCCACTCCGATTAGTTTTCAGACCACTAACAAATCTGATTAATTGGTTCAACCATAATTCGGTCCGGTAGGTTTTCAGACCATTAACAGGTCTAATTGGCTGGTTCAACTATGGGTTAAATTCCCATTGTCCTTCCACTTAAATACAAAAGCATTAACTACAACCATCAGCTTTCATTAGGCTCAATTTGGGAAGTGTGTAAATAGAAATGTGCACTTCAAAACCTTGTATACGGTATTTCTAAACTTTGTATTTTCACACATCCAAACTGGGCTTTAAATATTAATCCAAATGATTAATTCCACTTAAATTCTCTACGTAAAAACTATGTGCAAGTGATGTGATTTGAACAAAGAACACTTGTGTAAAAGACAAGTATTCTTATCATTAAGCCATATCTAACCAAGTTAAAAAATGACTTGGCTTTAACCTTTAAGCCATTTTCATAAGACTTTGTCACAAGGTTAATGAGTTGGACGGGTTGGGTTGAGTCAAGACAGGTTTGAATTGAACCCAATCAATTTAATTTTATTAAAAGAATCATTAATGGGTTTTCGGTTTAGAAACCCAACGCACCCAATTGCCACCCCTAGCTCCAAAGCTGTCATTTGGTTATTTCTGATGCCTTGTGGTTTTGTACTCAACCACTCACAGTTACTCCATTTGGCAACAAAATGGTATTGGTATTAACAACACCCAAAATGATCCATCAAGTGCATATTCACTCATTCCTGAGATGGTAGGGAAAATATCTCTTCCATAATCCAGCCTGCTCTAGTTATTGGCTGGGATCACGTAAGAGAGCATCAACAGACAAGAAAGCTGTAGCAAGGGAAGTGAACAAAATGAGAGAAATTATCTAATGGGATAACAAAGAGGTATCCAAGCCTACATACCAAGTGATGAATTTCCAGAATGAAGCAGGTGACAACAATTTAGAATCGATGATGGTGACCATTTGGATTATATTGGTACACCAGGAATTGTAAGCTAGATGGAAATTTTGGATGAAAAAATACCTATCAATTATTATGAATTGAAAATATAAGATTTCAGAATATACGAAGAAATGTATTATATACACAACCTTCCAATGATTCATACTTCTACGTTAGAGTAATACAGTAGGATAGAACAATATATGTGTTTAAACTTGACGCACTCAAATTATAAAGTCAGAAAAGTTCTCACCATAGTTGATCCAGTAGGATCAGAAAGAAGATGTCTAATTAGGCACATTCTCATGCTATTCGGTGCCATAACAAACATATAAAAAGCAAACACTATGAGGTTTGCTGATGAAAGGGTAGAACCAAGAAAACCCTGCCACATCCTGCAAGAAAGACACCTCCATTTATCATTCTACCATAAGTCGAAAGGCAAACCAACGAGGACTTGCTCATTTGCAGATAGCTTGTAGCATTTGTTAAGAAAGCAGTTAATATTCATAAGCTATTATTGTTCCCCGTTTCACTTTGCAGACCTTTGTATTAGCAGCTTCGTTTTGTTACTATGGGTTCTTGCTCAGACTGCATGTCTCTTCCATGATTCTCAATTGTCAAATATAGGATTCAAATTAGGTGTATTATGCAGTCAAAACAACAAAAAAAAGGAAGAAAGAAAGAAAAAGTTTCCAAGGGAACACAGCAGTAGCTGTTTTCCCAAATTGGCTAAGCATAGAAATCCCAAACTCCAAGTGCCAACTGAACTGGTATCTTCCCCATGCATTCACCCCCATTGTAACTAGAAGTATTATTATAAATAGTAAGTCCAAATTTACTATAGATAGTAATTTTGTTCTACTAAAAATAGCGATCTTGTGCCATTTGCTTTGTTGTTCTTGAATTACATGTTTTTTAAGAATTTCTAGATAATTTTAGAGTAATTTTATATGCCTAGAAAAAGAGTTGTGTCTTAGTTAAGAGCCATGGGCTTCCATGAGTACTGCATTTGTATGAGATTTGAGCCACCACGAGTACCATCTAATTAATTGAAAACTTGTCTTGCCATGGGAGGAGCCGAAAGTATCACCCTGAGTACA